GAGCAAGTTGCAACCTGTCAAGGAATACTACTGTCATTAGAACCATGTACTAATAAATCATTTGTGTTTAAATGTTGTTTTGTGACCTTCCTCTTTCAAATGTTATGACATGGAGGGAAGTAAAGCAGAAGCAAAGTACCTCTAGAATCTAGAACATCAGTAACAAAGATGACTCAGCTCATCACATCTCAGTTTGCAAAAGAGGGCTTAGACAGGAGGTGGAATGACTATACAAGCAAAGAAAGGCAAACTGGAGTAATTTAAAGTGCTCTGTGACCTCTTGTGCACAGTATATTCAGATCAGCAGATGTGATCTGCTGATATACAACCATGGGCCAAACCAATATCTAATCAGGATGTGTAAAAGCTACAACCACAGATGGAAACAATGATGTTTTACAATAAATGCTCAATTTTAAAACTGCAATGTGCATAGGTTTTGAATTAGATTAAAGTGTTACAGAACTCATCGTTAAAGATATTAGTTCAAGATTAATCTGATTGAATGGACATGTTTTTTTCGACCTTTTGAATCTGAGTCAGAGTTTCTTCAGTTGTCATACGCACCACATGTGGTGGAACAAAATTGTGTACACAGGGTCCTAGTTACATCCAACAAATGTATAAAATGTAAAAGGAAAAACAGTAATAAGATCTAAGATATGAACTAAGAAAAATGTTAACTAAAAATACACTAAGCACTAGTAGTACAAAAATAATACACTGAACAGCAGCACGAACATGAGTCTGTGTGAGCAGATGAGTACGAATGAACACAGCAGCATGAAATAAATCAGCATCATGATGTGATTTTTCAGTGATTATTCTGTTTAGAGATTCATGAGTCTAACAGCCTCAGGGTAGAAGCTGTTCCTCAGTCTAGTGGGTCTACACTTAATGCTGCTCATCGTCCTGCCTGAGGGGAGCAGAGCAAATATTGTGTGTGCTGGGTGAGTGGGGTCCTTCATGATGCAGGTGGCTCTCTTCCTGCATCTGGAGGTGTAGATGTCTGTGATGTGGGGAGGCTGACTCCAACAGACTTCTGTGCAGCCTTCACCACTCTCTGCAAAGCTTTTCTTTCTGCAGCTGTGCAGCCTCCACACCACAATTTGATGCTGGAGCACAGGATGCTCTCCACTGCACACCTGTAGAAGGAGGTGAGGACTGAGCTTCCCAGACCAGCTCGCCTCAGTCGCCTGAGGAAGTAGAGTCTCTGATGAGCTTTCTTGATCAAGCTGGTAGTGTAGTTGCCCCAGCTGAGGTTTTCATTCAGGTGCACATCCAAGTACTTGTAGCTGGAGACCACTTCCATTGCAGATCCTCCTATGTTTGAGGTGGGGGTAGGTCTGTTTGTTCTGTCTGAAGTCCACAACCATCTCCTTTGTCTTCTTCACATTGATACCAAGGTTGTTCTTCCTGCACCAGCTCTCCACGTATTCCATCTCCTACCTGTAGCTGGACTCATCATTGTTTGTGATGCACCCCTACACTGCTGTATCATCTGCAATTGAATGATTGATTCTCATGGTATGCATACTGTTGGGGGTCCTCGCTGATGTTGATGGTTATTTTGTTGTGGGTCATGACCAGTTTTTCAAAGCATTTAGCAACTACTGGGGTGAGGGCTGATCCGTACATGTTCCTGCTTTTAGTATTTTACACCACCTTATAATCTAGCTGGGTATTTTTTGTTTGTTGGTTTGTTTTTTGCTACTCTTCCTTTTGAGTGTCCTTTTGGTTGCTATTTTGTTTTGATTTGTAAAAAAAAAAAAATAATAATTTGTATGCCTCTTTTGTGACTGTCTATTGTTGTTGTTGTTGTTGTTGTTGTTGTTGTCCACTGTTGTCATCATTCTTTGTTCAAATCAGGTCTCTTGTAAATGAGTTCCCGATGCTCAGTGGGATTAACCTGTTTAAATAAAGGTTGAATTAATTAATGTGGTTTGGCGGCAAGTAATACATTGCTGGTGAGTAGTGAAACAGAGACTGAATATACAACACATACAGATCAAGTTTTATGGATTTTCCATAAATTATACAGAATTATCCTCACTTTCCCCCCACAGGACAGAAATATTATAAAAGATTTATGTTTTAAACAGACACACAATCAAATTGTAACCCATTCATTTCCACCCGGCTTTTTGTCTCACATGGCATAGCAAAGAGGAGGAATTGTAAATACTCCATCCATCCATCCATCCATCCATCCATCCATCCATCTATCCATGCATCCATCCATCATGGATAATGTGAGCATGATGCCTTGAAGATGAGTGAGGTATTGTCTTCCAATTTGTTGTTTAGCTGCATCTTGGCATAAAAAACTTTCCTTTCAAAAATTGTGTTTCCATGTTGAAATCCAAGATGACAACAACTATATATATAATCATTTATATATATATATATATATTATCTTTTACCCGCTTCTTCCATTTTGGGTCACAGGAGTCACCAGTGCCTATGTCCAGTTATCACTGTGCAAGGGGTGGGGTACACCCTGGACAGGTCTCCAGTCCATCACAGGGACACATAGAGACAAACCAGACAAACCAGAAAAACAACCATTCACTCTCTCACTCACACCAAGGGTCAATTTAGAGTTACCAATCAGTCTAACATGCATGTTTTTGGTCTGTGGGAGGAAACTGGAGTACCCGGAGAAAACCCACACATGTAAGGAGAGAACATGCAGACACCACCCAGAAGGACCCCCGGACCAGGATTTGAACCAGAGTAACCTGCTTGCTGAGAGGCAGCAGCTGTACCAGTTGCACCACGGTGCTGCCCCACTTGAATATCTTGCACTAAAAATATTAAGGTTTACGTGCATTCCCTGTTCAAATTTAGAAAAACACTCACATTGAAAACTATAAACATTCACTATTCAAATCCCTCAGCAACGAGGGACATCTGTACCATTAGTTATTTTACATAATTTGCACAATACTGCTTTTATAAAAAGGTCACATTTCCCAGGTGTGTATGGCTAGCATTTAAATCTTATTCTCATTTGTAAAAAAGAAGAATAAATTTAAAAAATAATCAAAAAGTACTTACAATAAACTGAAAGCAGTGATAAAAATGACAAGAAAACTTGATGATTTAATGCAAAAACTGAATCAATAAATTTGAGTTTATAAAAGCCAGTGTGAAAATATTCTTTACAGAACATGAGATTTTTTTAGATAAAAAGAAATGTGTGACTGCTCAAACATTACTGGCGTTTATCCTAAAACCAATGTTTAGTGTCTCAGATGGGCGCCCATATGTGCTGTAATTGAGACAGAGAGCACAATCCTATCATTCTCTGTTAGTCACCTTCCTGCAGAGGACAACGAAAGGCAAGTGAAGTGTGACATAAATCCATGAGGGAATAAACCTCCCTAACTCAAAGCTTTTTTGTACATTTTTATTATTACTACTTGTGGTTTTTGGTATTATTTTGCTAACCTGTTTTGTCATTCACATGAGGATTTCACTTCTCTTTGCACTGTAGTTGTGTTACTGCTAGTTTTCATACAGTCAGTGCAGGAGGAGATCTGAATTCCCTGTGCTGCATCTGGTTGAGTGTAGAAACAGTTCATTTATGCCTGGTTGAGCTTAAGTTGTTTATTTTTATTTTATTCCCAATAATATGGATTGAAACATATGTCTTTTGACATTATGAACAGAGTTTTTTGAGCTCACTACTTGGGGAAAACAACAAACATATTTTTCATATAAAATGGATCAAGCGCTCATAAAGTATGGTACAATTTAGATGCAACGTGGTCCACATGCAGACTAGTGACAGCTATATAAATTGACTGATTTGCAAGAAGTGACTTTTGGTTTTGCAAGTGAAGAAATGGTGTTATCAGGCAGTTGCCACAGTATCCAACAGTCAGTCGACACAGTAAGGGTAGGGTTCTCAGACGTCTAGACACATTGGAGAATGTTACCAAAATGATGGATTTTGGAAGAGTCACATTATGTGTTTTAAGAGGGCAAGTTGTTTTGTATAACTGCCCAGTTTGTGGGGCGTCCAAATGTCACAGTGGTCCAGTTTTGGAATCTGTGAAGGTTCAAGAAATACAGTACCCTACGACATCTCCACATGTCCTCCAGACACAGCTAATGGATTCTTTCAACAACCTGTCACCAGCAGATTACCTTCTCACCCACTTGTAGCTTTGTCATTAACAATCCGAACACAAATGGCTGCATTTGGAGTAGTGTCATAACCAAGAGTCTAGAAGTGATGAAATATTCAGCAAATAATCACGTTTGCATTACCACGGATAAACACTGTGTGTGAGTTTGGTGGCCGAGAGGGGAGAAGACCAGCCCTGGCTATGTTTTAGAGGTACAGACCAGTGTTACCCCAGTGAGTCACTGGATATGACTTCAGGTCAACCCTGGTAGTAATTCTGGGGGTCCATGATGGCACCACATCAGTGACATCCACATCTTACCCCTCCTGAGGCACACCTTGGTACAGTCTTTCAACAAAACAACACTGGTCCATCCTGCATCATAAAGAGCCTCCTGTGTCCGCCCAGGTCTATGACTGACCACAGGAGCCCCCCCCCCCCCCCCCCCCCACCCCAGTCTTTCTCTTTTTATCAAACGTTTAATTGGCTCAATTGTAAATTTGCTGCTGGATCGTGAGATCCAGATGCCACAGCTGTAGGTCCACTTGTTGCAGGAGAGGCTACAAAGGTTCTTTAAGTCTGGTCCACGCAGACTTGCTGCTTTAATGCAGAGGTGCCACGCCCTGCTGACATGAGAGCAGCAGTGTGCCTGTACTCATAACTCAGTTATACATTTGCTCTGAAACTGTAATCATTGCATTAATCACATGACCTTTAAACACATGGAGTTTGATTTGATTTCCACGTCTCCATCTGGGTACATTTTTTAGTTAATGAACAGAGTTTGTTTAGACAGGATAGATTAGGATTAATATTCTCATGATACAAATGTAACGTCTGCTTTTATTCTCTGTGTCCCTCTAGAATAGGATACCAACTTCCAATATTCGCTGGCTTCTGTATTATGTTTCTCTCTACTATCAGTAAGTCTGATCAAATTAGTTTTTATTTTAGGAAGCTCAGAGTGCTTTCCTTGTGCCTGGTGGTTCATTATTAATGTTTCTGTTTTGTTTTTATTTTTCTGTCGTGAAGTGTTCGCCTTCTCATCAAGCTACTCTTTGCTGTTTCTGGCCAGATCCCTTCAAGGTGTGGGCTCGTCCTGTTCATCAGTGGCTGGTACGGTTATTTTCAGCTCTTTGTTCCTTGTAAGAGCTCTCATCATCTAGTCAACTGTTTTCTCATCATTATCTGTGATAAATTTCCTTGAATGCACAATAATACATTTTGTCAAAATCAAAGCATTCTTTCGAGCAGTGCTACATTTTAAAATTGTCCAAATCTTTATTTTGTTTTGACTGTGACATGGACTTCTTTATTTGCACCGTGTCATTTTAAGATACTAAAAGTTATTTGGACATTTTACATGACTGAAAACACAACTAGGAATGAGTTCACGGTGTCTTTGGATGGGATGATGGGAGACTGTGACAAAGTGAAGAGTCAACATGTCTGCTGGCTTCCCTCCTTACATAGAGAACTTTACTAATTGGCTTTTTATGTATGTGAATGTTTCTGTTCAGTGCCCTGAGACAACTTTGTTGTGAATTGGTGCTATATAAATAAACTGAATTGAAATGAATTGTCTTTAGCCAAGAGAATCCTGTTTCACATTGCACAGTGAGGAAATGTAAGTCCTCATCACACCCAGAAAATAACTAAGCATGTATTACTTTTTCTGATCATGACCTGACATTTTACTTTTTCAATTCAAAACATTAATGTGTCATGCTACTGCAGTTAAAATAAATTCCAAACATTTCATTGTTGTCTTGATTAAAATTTTAGCTTTTTTCTTTGTCAAACAACATATACTGTGCTGTACTATGTACTGCTACAAAAGGTCAAAGTATTATTCCCAAACTACGTTTTTCATATATATTATTTTCTTTAAGTTTTTCTAAGGCTGCAGGAGGAGAAATTGAAAAATCATGATGTAAATGTTCGAATAACTGCAGAATGTTAATAAGAGTATTACAGTGTTTGTGCATAGGTAGTTTATGAGTAATATTTAAACAAGTAATGAGTATTTAATAAGTAAGAAAGACTCCTAAATAAATAGTGTCTCTCAAAAGGAATCAAGTTTCCATATGTATTACTAAATACTGTAAATGATTCACATGCACTGAAGCCAGTGCACTGTAGTGACGTGTCTGCACACTGAACAGCCTGCACACTGAACAGCCTGCACTCTGAGCAGCCTGCACACTGAACAGCCTGCACACTGAGCAGCCTGCACACTGAACAG